ATAGAGGCAAAAATTGGTTTTCATCAAGGGTGTCCATTATCTCCCTTCTTATTCATCACTGCTCTCAATTACTTTCAAATGCATTTTCTCAAATAGGCAAGAATATTGGGATTAAGATTTCATCTAATGCTCAAAGAATTTCTCATTTATTATATGCAAATTATATCTTATTGCTTTCAGATGCTAGGCCCAAAAGTGTGAAGAAGATGAGGAAAATTTTATTTGACTATTGTAATTGGTCTGGACAGAGAATTAATTCTAAAAAATATTCTATTATTTTTGGTAAGACAGTTAATATGAGTAGAAGGAATTGTATCTCTAACTTGTTGGGTTTCAATGTTGATAAAGAGTTGGACTGCCTTGGAGTGAAGATGTCTTTACGCAGCATGAGAAAATCAAATTTTCAACATTTGATTGAGAAGACCTTTTCTAGATTTAATGTTCGGGGGAATAGGATTATTTCCTTAACAGGCGGAATGATTCTTATAAAAATGGTCTTTCTTTCTATTATGTTATTTCTTTAAGCTCATTCGCTGGTGTCTAAAAGTATTTTGAAAGAATTTAACAAAATATACAAAAAACTTATTTGGAACAAGCATAATTGTGATCATGGTCTTCACTATGTTGCTTGGGATACTTTATGTAGATCAAAGGAGAGGGTAGGACGTGGGATTTTTTCTGCTGTAGCAAAGATTAGTTCTTTAAAAGCTAAATTTACTTTGAATCTTATTAATAATCCGAGATCTTTACTAAATAGAAGCCTGATTGCTAAATATGGTGAAAATTTCTGTTTTATGGAACCAAAGAAGAATTCATCTCTAGCTTGTAAGATAATTATGGATGGAGCTAATTTTATTTGGAATATTGTGAGATGGAAAGTATCAACGGGTTCTTCTATTAATGTAATAAAAGATGTTTGGATCCTTGATAGAAGGTTGAATAGGTGGCCCACATTTATTGTTGATTTTGAAGATGATTCAAAATTACTGGATTATTTTATCTCGGCTAGAGATTGGAACGTTGACAGGTTGGAGCAATATTTTGGACAGGAACTTGTAAAGCTAATTATTCAAGTGCATATTTTCTCGGAGCTATTACAGGATCTTATAGAGCTCATATCCAAATTTTTTGGTAAATTGATAACGACTTTAGCATCTGAGGCGATGAATGAAGATCCAGTGGTTGATGATTTCTAGAAATGGGTTAAAAAAATTGAAGCTAAACTCTCGGGCGGAGCTATTCTTTTAGAGGTTATGTAATAATGCAATTCCAACAAACAATTTTTTATACCAGAGAAGATTATTTGATAATAATTATTATCCTAGAGAGTGTATAGCTGTTGAAAGTATTACTCATGTTGCATCCAATTGCCTGAAGATCAATTAAATTATTGAGGTTTTGAATGCATTGGGATTTTTGGTTCCATCATTTTTTTCATTGGTGGAATGTAAAGTTGAGTTAAAGAGGTTAGCCGATTCTATTCTATTTGTTGCTAACATGTATTGTACATTACTATACTTCTCTTGGAGAAGTAGGAATAAGATAAAGCATGGAGGGGTTGAAGATAGTCCTTTTATATCTTCAAATGTGGTTAGCTTTGTAGCATCTTCTTTTCAATATAATCTTATATTGGATCACTGGGGTTTTAATCATCTTTCTAAGCTGTCTTGTAATATTTGGTACCCTCCTTCCGAATGGATTAAAGTAAATATTGATGCTACTTTGTTAAGGAATAATAAGGTTGGTGTTGGTGGAGTCTTCTGAGACAATTATGGTAAATTTTTATTTGTTTTTGGTTTTCAATGTTTGCACTAGGATATTGCACAGGTAGAACTCAAAGTTATTACTTCTTTAAAGCTGACCGTACAGAGCTGGATGTTAGAGACTAAAGGCTTAATCATTGAAGGGGATAATTACCACATTATCAAATTGCTACAGTATTCTTTTGGCAAATCAAGTTCCCAACTTGAAGATCAGCTATTGGAAGAGTTATCATTCTTAAAGGAATTTAATAATGTTTTATTTCATTATTCTAGGAGAGATTGTAATAAGTTAACTAATTTATGTGCTAACTTAGCTAGTTCTTCTGATTTTCTTTGGGTTGATATTTGTGATAATAAGATTCCTCCTAGTTTTTTGCTTTGTTAAATGAGGAATGTGATAGTAGTACTATCATATAATAGTTTATATTTGGTTTCTCTTTTATTTAATTGCAATTAGCATCTTCTAAAAAAAAAATATTTGTAAATGTATGACGAAGGTACAGAAGTAATTTCATGAGTATGCTGAGCTAAAATGGAAATCAGTTGATGATGCGGATGACCTAAGCGAGCATGCAAAATATGAGAAGATGTGTTGGTGGCATGAAGGGCTATAAATGTGGTAGTAGGGGAGAGCCGGAGTTGATAAAGGCCGTTATGAAGATGACCATAAAAGTGCGGTTGATGATCCTACATATCCTTGATGATAAATCCATTTAAATCAAAGCAGATGCAAACAAAATTATCTTAGGTTAATTTTGAAATAGATAAAAGATTTTGTGTTAGGGAAGGAACGTGAAGGAGATTACACACACATAGCTTATGTTATGTATCCATTAGCGGGAGAATTCCTTGGCCGGAGTTGTGGATGGGTAGCAACATGACGTTTGCAGTTGAAACCGTATATTTGCCTTGATAGGGAGCTGAAGAATGAATGTTCGTAGCGTCCGGGGTGAGATGAGTCGAAGAACCAGAATCAAGAACTCAATCTTGCGGTGGATTGGGTGGAGGCTAAGCGAACATGGCATGGGGTTGCCAAGAAGTTGGCACATACTTAAAATTATTATGATACCAACAATTGAGTGCTACATGGCCAGATTTTTTGCAAATTTGACAGGTTGATCGGGAAGCCGTAGTGATGTTGGGATGACTAGTTGAAGGGGCGGAGGAGACGGATTGAGAGGAGGTGTTCTTTGTTCTAAAGAAGCATTTCTGATTTCTCCCGCGAGGTGGATTGGAGGCAGAGTAGAGGGCAAGAGTTCCGTGGAGGAGAGAGTTTCTTTGTGATGTTCTTGTTGAACATGTATTTCCTCGCTACAAAGAAGAGAGTAAAGGGTATCAAGATCGATGGGAAGAAGAGAGGTTCTGATGGCAATCTTAAAGGAATTATAAGTTGATGGAAGCCTGTTTAGTATATAGAGAATGATATCTTCAGGATCGATGGTAGAACCTGAGGCAGCGATAGTATCAACGATTTTATTAATTTGCACTAAGTATTGCTGCATAGAGCAATTCTTTAGTTGGATGTAGTGTAACTCGTTCTTGAGTTGAATAACTCGAGAATGACTGAAAGATTGAAGGCATTTTTCCAGGACGGTCCAAGCTTCATGAGCGGTGGAGGAGGAAAGCATGTATGGGAGGATTGAGGTGGAGATAGTAGAGAAGAGTGAGGAAATCAAGTTCTTGTCGACAAGATGCCATAAAGAGAAGTCGGGATGTGAAGAATCAGCGGGGCAGGTGGAAGCACCGGTGAGATGTCTGACGAATTCGTTAGCCGTGAAGTGTTGAAGAAGTTGAAGGTGCCAGATTGCGTAGGTATCAGCAGTGAGTTCAGTTGGAATCAAGTTCTTGAGATTTGATATCAAGAACTTCAATGACATCGGCACGGTGAAGTCAGCGAAGGAAGAAGAGAGAGACGAGTTGGGTAGGTGGGAGGCCGTCGAGTTTTGGTCTAACATGGATTGCTCTGATATCATGAAAGACACCTTAGCTAGCAGAGAAGAAGAGGAAGATGGAAAAGAACTAATGAAGAAACATAGAGGAATTGTATTATTCATTTCTAGCCGCTACAGAGGCCATATAAATAGAAAAGCAAACATTTAAGTTGATATTTGACATGACACGACAACCCGACCCGGACCCGACATCTTAAGAGATTGCAACATATCTGCAATGACTTTCTTCACATCAAAGTTGTTGGAAACACAAACCCACATTTTACGACCAAATTCCTTTGTAATTTCATCATTATAAACATGTTGCAAAAGGGTTGTCTTCCCCATACCACCATGGCCGACTATAGATAGAAGAGAAATGTTTCTGTACAACTGATCAGTTACCCGATGCTCATTTGATGGATTCCTCAGCCTGTCAGCCACTCCATAACAAGCTCCTTATCCTTGCCCCGCCCAATGAGATCATTTTTAGGCAAGGATCCTGTTTCACGTGCTCCGTGCAGCTCAAGCTGCCGCTTCTGAAGCTCCTGCTTTGCATCTTTTACAAGATGAAGGAAAGTATCAACACCAGTTGTTATAACTTTATCAAGTTTTTGCACAGTCGTCTCCAGTCGCTTCAAGGTGGGATCAATTTTGAGAGCACGTCTGCCAAATTTTATGAACGCTGCCGGGTCGCGGGTTTGGCCGGGTCAACCCGGCAACCGGGCCTGGTCGGATCCGGGTTGAAATATTCGACCCGTTTATAAAAATGGGGTTGACCCGGCGGGTTACCGCGTCAACCCGAAAACCCATTTAATTTAAGAAAATAGAGAAATGTTTCTGTACAAATGAGTTCCCCGATGCTCATTTGATGGATTCCTCAGCCTGTCAGCCACTCCATAACAAGCTCCTTATCCTTGCCCTGCCCAATGAGATCATTTTTAGGCAAGGATCCTGTTTCACGTGCTTCGTGCAGCTCAAGCTGCTGCTTCTGAAGCTCCTGCTTTGCGTCTTTTACAAGATGAAGGAAAGTATCAACACCAGTTGTTATAACTTTATCAAGTTTTTGCACAGCCGTCTCCAGTCGCTTCAAGGTGGGATCAATTTTGAGACCACGTTTGCCAAATTTTATGAACGCTGACGGGTCGCGGGTTCGGCCGGGTCAACCCGGCAATCGGGCCTGATCGGATCCGGGTTGAAATATTCAACCCGTTTGTAAAAATGGGTCGGATTCAGATTGACAAGTTTAGATACGGGTCGGATCGGATTCTACCCGAACCCGAATGGTTGAACCGAATTGCACCCCTACCTCACTAACACAGGCAACCCGCAAGCGTAGAGTGACAGAGGAACTGGTCGCCATGTCTGCGGGAGAAGAAAATATCGCAACTCCAGGCGAAATACTGGGAGATTCGTCCCAGTTTATCGCAGGGAAAGGGACCTATCTGGCACCTAATGGCCGGAATATTCACGCTTCCCTGACCGGCCAACGTCGTTTAGTACCCCCTCCACCCGACTCCGCCGAGAAGGTACGTCTCGCTGACTCACTTCTTTTCTATGGTTAGTGTTTCTCCTTCTTCTTTGTTAGCTTGCCTCCCACTTCCTGCCGCCATATTAATCAGCACTCTCTTTGGAACCCGTCTCTTCAGAGGTTGACCGTGGAAGTTGTTGGTCACAAGACGCGCGGTGCTGTTCCGGAACCGGGAGTTGTCGTCATTGCTCGAGTAAGAATTTTGGCTTATACCAGCTCTTTTTGTTTGCTTATTCCCTCATTGAATGCTATTCATCAAGTAAAAAATCGGATGATAGAATGCCTCTGCTATTTTTGTTCCATTCCTTTGTAGTCGGTAGTAGTGAATGTTTAGGAAATTAACTGCCGTTAGCAACTCCTGTTAGATATGATCTCATTATTTATGTGTTCAATTCCTTTTTGATCCAAATCTCGTGAAGGAATGCCCTTCCTTCCGTGGCAGGGTACCGGGCATGTCCATAGGGTGCCAAAGAACAACTCAATCCAAAAAAGAAAGCCAAAAAAATTGTTCCTTTTTTTGAGTTTAGGTTGGTTTTAATGTTGTGTAAACTGATTGGTTTGATTTGAATTATATTTAGATTTTTGGAAAGTCAACAAAAAAGAATTGAGCAGACTAAACTATTCATTTTATGTCCTGGGCCAACTGTTGAGATATATGGCGTATTCGAGTTCACTAGTGACTCTGAAGAAATGGTCGACAGGTTGTGGGAGTTGCTTTGTGAAATATGGCAGATAAAATATGAACAGAGAAGAAGATAAATATAGGAGAAAAGTTCCGGGTTATTTCATTACTTTAATTTTTCTGGTAATTCACCACTTTTACTCCTTTGTCACTGCAGGAAGAAAAATAAAAACAGTAACATTTAATTAACCCTCAAACCCCACCCTTTATTATCCTTTCCTTGGGAAATAATCTTTAAGCCAGGGAGGAATATGATGGTCACAATGCGAAATTTCAATGTCCAGGGTTTGTTGCTGTTATTCCGGCGGATTCGATAATATTCAATAATACTCGTATCACAATCTTAAATGGCTGATCTTAAATTTGTAGCATATAGAATCTTTATTTATATTTTTAAGGTATCCTAAACTAAATGGAATCCAACTAAGAAAACAGATTTCAATCAAATCACAACATTCATAACTGTAGTTTTTTGTTCCCGACTCTAAACTAAGATTTGAATTGAAAACAACCGAATCAAATGATTTGGTTTGTTTTGGTTTCACTTTTGGACTATTTGGTTTTATTTATCACTATTGATGGCCATTTTGGTTCAGTTTGGCTTCAAGTGATGGTAGGGCTGCAACTAGAGTGAACCATCTCCACCTCTAGATAACCTGGTCATGCTCAATGGGTTGTTTGGTTTCCTAGAAATAGCTTCTAGAAGTGTAAAGTGGGATAAGTTTGGCACTTCTAAAAGTTTGGTTGGCAGCTGAAGAAAGTCGCTTGATCTTATGAAGTTAAGCATAGGAGTTTTGCCTGATTTAGTCACTGCAGAAGCAAAAGGTGCCGCGTCTTTCATTTATGGGAACAGGGTTCACACATTGTGTAAATGGGTTGATTATGAAACAGGATGTTCATTATCTCCTTTAGAGGCTCAAATGTTGATTGCCTGTCTAAGTTCCTCTTAATTTTATAACTATTGGACAGGAAAGATGATAAAATGAACTTTATGGATGCATAAAAGCAGTTGTTTATTTGGTTCAGCAGGAATACATTCATGCTTAGATGTTTGTCGGGAGCTTTCCAATATTGTAATTTTTTATATCAGATAAGGCTTATTTTGATAATCTAGCTGATAAATGCCGACAAAGTTGTCTATTTGAACTGATTTTTTGTGTATGACTTCTCAGGTTTTGAAGCTTTTTTATTTTTCAAAGGCATTTTTGCCATTGGAGCAGTCATAGTTTAGTTAATTTATGAAACTTTTGAGCTCTACTACATGAAGAATTCATTGTATAGAAAAGCCTCCCTATTTTCCCTGAAGAGTTTTCTAAAAGCAGTAGTGATCCTCAAATAGCTCAATCCCCTTTAATTATATGCCTATTTCATGGAGAATTCATAAAATTCCATTAAAGATCCCCATATAAGGTGAACAGAGGGACCTATAAGGATAAATATTTTTTATATAATGGGCTCATGGGGTCTTCCTTTTGAATATCAAAGTATCATTATACTAATCTAGAAAACACGAAACTATATGTAAATGTAGAAAGCCACACGATATAGAATATGAATGCAACAAATCTTGAATTGGATATAGAAAGGCGTGATATAGTGAATGAATGATGGATGAAGAGACTGGCAATTTTTTGTAAATCTTGAGTTGGATATAGAAAAATATGATATAGTGAATGAATGATGCATAAAGAGAATGACATTTTGTTGTAAGCTTGGAAACTTGTCCATTTATATAGAGTTTGCTCAATTGAAAGTGTTGTGTTGCCATTTTTATCACCGTCAACATTATAGGAGATTTTAATTGTCATTATTCTTGTTATCCAATGATGAAAAAAAATCCTGTTTTCATCACTATTATCCAAATATGAAGAGAAATATTATCATTATTTTCGCCATCCAAAAGGAAGAAAATATTTTGTTCTTTATCATCTTCATAAAGGAGGATTTCAATCACATAAATGTTCCAAGATGAACAAGTCCTTTTCCTTATTAGTTTGGACCAAATCTATAAGAAAAAATAGAAAATTTATCCCCCTTTCCCCTATCTCCTGTTTGTTATATTATGGCACCAAATGGAAGGATGAAATGTTTCAATGCTTTTTCAATCAAGGATACTATCATACTTCTATTTCCAATCCATTTGTGGACATAATCAAGCAAAAGATTGAAATCAAAAGTCATCGATTCATGATGTGGCCATTCTTCCCTCTTGTATAAGAATTTTTTTTTGTGTTATTTTTATTGACGAAATTATAATGAAAAAAACTATAAATATGTAGTAGATTCCTAGTAGAATTTGACTTTTAGATGAATTATATTTTGAGAATTACTTGGGAGCAATGTGTTAGACATCAATATATTTATTGAATCCTAACATTGTACAATCAATCTATGAAGTAAGAGCTACATGCATGGTAGACCAACCTACAAGTATAATGTCTATTAGGGAATAAAAATGAACAAAAAGATCCACAACTCGTAAAAGACAACGATATTGTTTTGACAAAATAAATTCCAAACTTAAGGGTTTAGTTCTATCGGTCTATCTATATGTAATAAACACTAGTTTACCCCTTTTATTGTCTTTTAAGGTTGTTTTGGGTATATCGGTTTATTATAAAATTGGACTACCTATTTAGTTTAGATATCCCTCATATTGTAAAGAAAAGCTTATGGAATGAAAATTTCTAATTTTTCTTGTTCTCCTCTTCCTCTTTTGGAGTCTACACCTACTCTAAAGGTGCCCCTCCTTGGATGCCAAGAAGCTTATCAAATGAAGATTATTATTGATGGTGATGGCAGTTTTAGACATCAATATATTTTATTGGAACTTAAAATTGTACAATCAAAGTGTGAAGTATGAGCTATAGACATGGCAGACCAACCTATAAGTATAAAAATCTATCAAAAAAGAAAAAAGTAACAAAAATATTCCACAACTTGCTAAGGTCAATAATATAGTTTGGAAAAATAAATTCCAAATTTAAGGATTTAGCGTTATTGGCCTATATATATAAGCACTAGTTTATTCCTTTTATTTTCCATTAAGTTTGTTTTGGGTAGACCAGTTCTTTGTTATAAAATTGGTCTACCTATTAAGTTAAAAATACCCCTCATTTTGTAAATGAAAGCTTATGGAATGAAATTTTTTGATTTTTCGTCTCCTCCTCTTCCTTTTTTTTGGAGTCTACACCTATTCTAAAGGCGGCCTTCCTTCTTGGATGCTAAGAAGCTTATCACAATGTAAGAGGTGAACTTCACGATTTTCTCACATTAGGTGACATTGATGAGTTTTCCTAGAAAGTATCTTTGTATCATTTCAATTTCTTTTCTTCTTATGAATAATACCATATTACTTCTGTGTTGTCATGATTTCATGTCTTCATACAGCTTTGTCCTCTTCTCTCTTGTACTAACTAGGTCACTACCTCACTTGACATCATGGTCCAGACACTATACAATGGCTAAGCCCATCTTCTCTATCATTTGGTTTCATAGCTAAAAACTTGGATTCTTGTTGATTGATGTAAAAGTTTGGTGATTTTTTCTCTTGAATTTCTTTGGTGAAATTTTCATGCTTTCAATGTATTTTAGTTTTGACTTTTGAGTATCAAATTTTTATGCTTAATGATCATCTTGTGTTGAGTTTTAGTGAGTGTCAATCCTCTTTGGAGCATTGAATGGAAAATAAGTTTTTCCTTCTTGTGCTGCATTTAGAGTTATTCTTGGCCTTGCCTAAAATTTTGTATTTCTTTCCCTTGAATCCTACAATAAATATAGTGCTTGGTGGTTATCTATTGTTGAATCATATCTCATGTTGAATCGTTAGTGGGATCTCAACGCCTTGGAAGGCTGCTTGTAATGAATGAGTTGAGTTTATCGTGTTGAGTTCAAGGTTAGTTATCATAAGTATCTTAATATCTTCATCTAATTCATTTCTTTGTGTCCTTAATGTTGTGTTTTGCTTTGTTTTCCAATAAAGAAAACCTTAGTTTTCTACTAGATCTTCCCACTTTGGTTTCTCCCTTCTCAATGTCATTCAACCAACAACAACAACAACAACATCAAGCCTTTATCCCACTACGTGGGGTCGGTTACATGAATCCTTTTTCTCCATTGTGTCCTATTAAAAGTCAAATTCTCGTTAATGTCATTCAACCAATGGTACATTTAACCTACCATGAACGTTTTTAACTATCCAAAGCAGTGCTCTTACAGGGTGGTGGAATGCTGATAAGATTTGAAAACTTTGTTACAAATTTGAGAACTTATACATTTTGGAAAGTTCCATAAATTGGAAAGTGTTGTATTGTCAGCATCACATCACCATTATCATTATGGGTAATTTGATTATGATATCATTAATATTCAAAGATGAAGAAAAAAGAAGTTTTCATTACCATGGTCCATGTATACAACAACAACAACAAGCCTTTATCCCACTATTTGGGGTCGGCTACATGAATCCTCTTTTTCCATTGTGTCATGTCAAAAGTCAAATTCTCATCTAA